AGGGATTGTGGCATGCTCATCTTACCCCTGCCCCCAGGGGTGATTTCTTGTTTTCTATTTCTCTGTTTCTCTCTGTCTTGCTGGCAAGCACATGGGCCCTATACCAAAAAAACTCTAAAAAAAAAATAATAATAATAATAATTGAACTGTATCTCCCATTTTTAATTATTGTAAGACTTTTGTTTAATCTTTTTTTTTTTTAAGAGAGAGACACACTCTCTGGAGAAACACAAAGAGAGAAAAGATGGCCATGCTGCAATCCATTCTCCTCCATTCTTCTTCTGGGATTTTGGGCACACACACATGTGCCCTATGTGTGTTTCAAACTATGGGGTCCGGGACTCAAACTGCAGTCAGTCATGTGGGAGTCCAGCGTCTTAATCACCACATGACCTGTCAGCCCCAATCGTAAGACTTTTTATTACCTAAGAGTGATAAAAATTTTTAAAAGGTACGCCTGATATTTTCCAGGGGCAGGAAAAGATACTTCCATTTAGCAAGTCCAAAGAGACAAGATAAAAATTATGATTACTTATCAGGAGTCCTACTTTCAATATACTGTTTGCATTAATAAGGAATTGAGCCATAACTGGGAGGACAAAATTCCACCATCCAGGAGTTTGTGACCTCATAATGGCTGACCACCCTCTGGCCTGGAGCTCCTTCTTTGGAGGTGAGGGAGTTGGGGCGGGCTGGACAGATTGTTCCAAGTGGGTGGTGCCCAGGATCTAGGCAGGAAGTCAGAACTGACCACGTGAAGCCTGCGGGGGCTCCAGACCCCATCCTCCTCCAAGAACGATGTCCACGCTAGATATTCTACTCTACCTGTCCATCCTCCTCCTCTGCTTCTTATTGCTCCTGTGTTACTGCATCTATCGGCAGCAGTAGCTCAGGCTCCTGTGGGCAGGAAAGAGGTCCAGCAGAAACCTTAGCCCGTCCCACCCTCCAGGGCCTCTCAGCTCTTCCTGGGCTGCACTCAGTCCTATTCATATCCTGTTTGGGGCCTCCAGTAGCCAAACACGGGTGCTCGGGCAGACTGAGATGACACAGAGAGCCTCCCCATTCATCTCCTTCTCCTTAGTGCCCCATGCTGAGTCCCCTGCCCCACACAGACTATTCTAGCTCATTTTTGCCCTGAGCAGAAGGCCACCGACTCTGGAGAAGGAATCAGTGTGGGACTCAGAAAAAGTATGAATGGCTATTTCTCTGCTATGGGGACAGGCAAGAGCAGAAGTGACTGTCTCCCTTTAGAAAGTCAGCATGGCTGGGCCCTGGGGAGTCGTCACTAAAGACTAGGACCCTCAGCCAATAACATGGGGCTTTTCTTTCATCCGTGGTGGACAATCCTAGAAAACAACCTGCTTGACTCATGAATCTGATGGTCTTTGCTGATGAATTTGATCTTCTGTGAACAATTTTAGACCTGCTTTGCTATGTAACAGATATTTCTGGCTAATTACTTAAACTTTCCTGGCTTGAAAATTGTCACATTCGGGAACCAGCAGTTAGCATAATGGCTATGTCGCTGGACTCCCACGTAGTCGACCGCGGTTCGCATCCTGGACCCGGTGGCTTAAAACTCACGCCGGCCGCGTGTGCGTGCGTGCCCAAGATCCCGAGAGGAAAATGGAGGAGAAGGGATTGCGGCGTGACCATCTCCCCTGGGGGGTGATTTCTCGCTTTCTGTCTCTCTGTCTCTCTCAGTCTGTCTGGCGAGCGCACGCGTCCTATAGCGAAAACCTCTCAAAAAAAAAAATTGTCATGTTCATTGGCTGTCCCAGCAACCTAGTGGCTAAGGGAGTCAGAACTCACATGACCAAATAAGGTTCAAATTCTGGCCCTGGCAGCTTGAAAATTATCCCAGGAGGATGAGGGAATGCAGGAGAAAGAACTGCAGCATGACCACACCCCAATGGGGAGGTGCTTTCTCTCGCTCTCTCTCTGTCTCTCTCTGGCAAACACACACACTCTCTGGTAATTTAAAAAAGGAAAGAAAAGAAGGGAGGGAGGGAGAGAGTAAACAAGGCATAAAGAAGGAAAGGAAATTGTGACTTTTTTTGCCCAAATCTTTGGGTTTTCTCCCACTGTGCTAGCCGACTATGTCAGTTCTTTACTCTTTTTAAAAAATCACCAGGGGTGCAGCGAGCAGGAAAACAACAGCCTAGGATACCCCCACACGCCTGGAAGTGTTGGCAAAAGAGAAACCGAGTGTGTGAAAACCACCAGAAGAGGCCACAGAGCTAGACAGTGGCAGAGGGAAATTGGAACCCAGGCGTCTCTAATGCCAAAAGCCACCTGAAAGGCCACTGCCAAAGCTTCCTACCCTGGAGGGGGGAGCTTTCTCTACCCACATGGATTCTGGGGACAGCTTCTCTGCAGCAGCCATGTGAAGGTACCTGAGGAGGGGACAGACAGATGCAGAGAGTGGTTCAGCACGGGAAACCTGGGACCCAGGAGTCTGCACCTTCATAAGGCCCAAATCTCCAGGGACCACGCACACAACTTTACGCAAGGTACCAGTGCTCTAGAGAATGGAACGCAAATTTTACTCAAGGAAACCAGGAGCCACATCCTCCTGACATGACGGTGGCAACTCCCATGGACCCTCTGCACACGGGACTCCTCACCAACAGAGAAGGAGACTTGATACACAGCTGACATACCCCAGATCACAGCAGGTCTTGGTAGGCACAGGGAAAGCAGCTGGCACTAAACTTGCCAGGTAATAAGCACTCGATGACCTGAACAGACACAGTGTTTTCTCATGTAATTGGGCCAGCAAGTGGCATGGTGGTTAAGTCACTGGATCCCACATGGCTGACTGCAGTTCAAGTCTTGAACCTGGGAGCTTGCTTTCTTACTGGCCCTCCTTTTCTGTCTCTATCTCTCTCTCTCTCTTTCTTTGGAGAATTAAAATAATAGATAAATAAATAAATCTTAAAAAATAAAAAATAAAGGTAATAAACTAAAGCGGGGAACAGTGAATGGTGTAGGGCAGGGTGACCAACGATGGTCACTATGTGGTTGCTCAGTGACAGGTGGTAAAGGACAGTGAAGGCAGGGAGTATGCCAACTAGCATGGGCCCGTGGGGGATCCTGGCAGGAGGGCCTGGGGTCACCACCTGTGTGTAAGGACTGTGCTCACAGACCCCTTGGTTATCCCCTGCTCTGCCTGCATCTTTGCCACTCTGGTTTTTACTGTCTCAGTCAAAGGCTGGAGGGAGACATCTTTTCCTGGATGGCCCCAACTTATGCCAAGTAGCTTCCTGTGACAGGACTCAAGGCAGGCTCAGATGGATTGTGTTGCTAGGGTGAGCACACTTCCAAGGGAAGCAAAAAAAGAGGACTCTTCCCCACTGCAGGCCAGCGTGTTGGCCAGGATAGTATGTCTTTCCCCTGACACTACAAGCTGTGATCATCACCATCCCAACCAGGGATTCCTCTTCCTTTCTTTGCCTGTTCTTTCCTTTGTCTGCCTGTGTCATTGTTAGTACAGTTAGTCACTACACACCCAACACCTGTCATATATCAAAAAGCAAGGTTCAAACACAGCCTTCAAGGGCCTGGGAAGAGACTATTAACTTTACATCTTCCCATTGTCTCATTTTTTAAAAATAATTATTTTATTTAACTTTATTTATTTATTCATATATTTCAATTTGACCAGATAGGGAGAGAGAGAGAGAGAGAGAGAGAGATCACCTTCCAGGAGGGATAGCCATGCCCCAATCCCTTCTCCTCCATTCTCCTATTCTCCTCTCAGGATCTTGGGCACATAAACACACACAACTGGCATTAAATTTTTTCCTTTTGGGACCAGCAGTTAGCATAATGGCGATGTCACTGGACTCCCACGTAGTCGACCACGGTTTGAGTCCCAGACCCGGTGGCTTAAACTCACGCCAGGCGCGTGTGCATGCGTGCCCAAGATCCCGAGAGGAGAATGGAGGAGAAGGGATTGGGGCATGGCCATCCCCCTGGGAGTGATTTCTTGCTTTCTGTCTCTCTGTCTCTCTCTGTCTGTCTGGTGAGCGCACGTGCCCTATAGCAAAAACCTCTCCAAAAAAATTTTTTTTCCCTTTTTTGTTAGATTTTTGCTATAGGGTGTGTACACTCACTGGAGAGAGACAGGGGCAGTAAATCACTTCCCCGAGGGAATGACCACATCGTAATCCCTTCTGCTCTGCTCTCCTCTCAGGATTTTGGGCACACATGCACACACGCCCAGTGTGGTTTTCAAGCCACTGAGACCAGGACTCAAACCATGGCAGCTGGCCATGTGGGATCCAGTCGCCTTAACCACCACACCACCAGCTGGCCCTTGATCCCTTCTTTCCCATCAGGTTTTAGATGAAATGTTCCCTCAGAGAGGCCCTTGCTGTCTAGCCTTGCTAAATAGATTCCCACTGTTGTTGCTCATGTACCAACCTGCCCCTTCCCTCTGTAGCACTAACCATAGCTAAATTATTGCATTTTCTGGCTCACTTGTATATTATTCCCACTAGAATGTGAAAACATAAGGTAGAGGACCACATCTGTCTTCTTTGTTATAATTCCAACACAAAGTCATAGTCCAATCCCTGATGTAAGGTGGTTGATCACAGGTTTCATGGATGGATGAAAGGAAAGATAAATAGACTGGTAAGAAGATGACTGGAGAGATGGTAGGTGCATGGGTAAATGAATGGGTACGGATGGATGGACACATACTTGTATGGATGGGAAAATAGCCCTATGGAAGGAAAGATAAGGATTGGATGGATGAAGAAACTGATGTTCCATAAATATTTTCTGGATAAGTGGATGCATGGATAGGTGAGTGGCAGGATGACTGGCCGATGGACGGATGCTTGGGATAAAGGGACAGTGGCCGCTAGGGATCAAGTAGGGTGCCGGCGGTATCCGAATTTCAGCTCCGCTCCATCCGGGGGCGCTGCAGAGCGGAGCGCGCAGATTCGGCGCGCCGGAAGCGCCGCTCTAGGCTGCAGTTTACGCTCGCTGCCGCATTTCCGCTGACGCTGAGCGAACGGTGAGAACTTCGAGAGAGCGAGACTTGGTTCTAGGTGGTTAGACACCTTCGCTCCTTGTAACCAGTGGCCCAGTCCCCGTCAGCCCTGGCCCGGAGGGAGTCACTGAGGACCCCCGGCAGCCTCCAGGGCCGCTGTTACCGGATCAGAAACCGAGGCCGGGAGGTGGGCAGCGGGCAGGGTGGTTGAGTTCTGTCTGCCGTCGATGATCTGTGCTCTGTGGAGTTGTCAGCTTCCTTCCTCGTTAGGGTTTGGTGCGGTGCTCTGTCTCCCCCAGCCTGCGCCCCCGCAGCGCCGCGTGTCCTGGAGGGGGAGAGGAGCTGCGCCGAGCGGCCCTGAGCGGCCCTGAGCGGGCGTCTTGCGGGGAAGGCTCGGCCCCGGATCCGGACCAACGCAGGGGCCTGGCCAAGCTGTCCCCGGGCCAGCGTGGGGCCCTAACCCTCGTGACTTTCACAGCCCCTTCCCTGGCATCTAGAGCTCTCAGAGCCGTTGTCAGTTGTCTAATGTGTCGGCCTCGGGCACGTCCTTAGATCCGGTAGCTCTTTTTCATCGGTAACCTTTAAGTGCAGGTGTAACACACCTGCAAACCACCTGGCTGAGGTTTAGCTGAGGATGCTTCTTGGGTCCCAGAGAGTACTGCACTGCTGCCCTGCGCTGGGCACTAAAGCCTCTTCTCCGTGCTGTTTCCCTGGTTAGCCCCTGCTGCCCCCGCGGCTTCCCCGGAGACAGATGGAAACTGCCCAAGCCGATGTCTCCTTCTCCCCTGCTGGACCCTCGTCCTCACTCCTTGATGGGTGTTCACTGTCCGGAGGTTGAGGATGGCGCGTGGTAAGTGCTGCTTGGGAGCACCTTGAACACGGGTGCCTTTGGGGATGAATGCCTTCCTGCAGCCCAGCAGAGGGGAGCTGGTTGGGAAACTCACATGGGTTCTAAACAGTCTGACAAATCCTTGTGTACACAGAAGCCGGGTGTAGGAAGGCTGGGTTGGGGGCCAGAAAGACCCCAGGTCAGATCCTGGGTAAATGACTTTATTCTCTGGAGTTCTACTTTGTATAAAGTAGAAAAACTTCAAAAGCTCCATGAGGATGGAAATGTTGACTGTTTTTCTTGTTTTTGAACCCATGGCAGAGCCTCAGTATTTTGGAGGACGAATGGACAGTTTAGGTGTTTTTACCATTACTTGGGCTTTCTGTGGATGGCCTGATGGTGGCAGGTGAAATCTTTATATTAAGTGGCGGTAACTTTCAGGGTCCTGGCAGGCTTGTCACTTAACCTATCCTATCACATTGGCATCTCTCCCTGGCTCACTTCTGCCTTTTTCTTTTTGCCTTTGAGAGTGATCCTGGGCTGCTCACACCCTGTTTTTTGGTAGTGCAGGGAGAGGACTTGCTGAGTGTTTCCCACGTTAGGGAGGTACCCTCACATCTCCTTCCTCCTGCCTCTCTTTAGATGTCTCTTGGTACTTGGTGTCTGACTTTTGAGTGGCCCCTGTGCGTGACTCTGCTGGTTTCTGTGGGGCTTTAACAGGGGAGTGAAGCATGGGCTGTGTCTCAAGGAGCTTGGAGTTGGGTTTGGAGCCACTTGTGGATTATTTCTTGCCAATGGCTTCCTTCTCTTCCATTTTCCAGATCCTTCATTATCAGGGCCCCCAGGTATGATGGAGTTCTGAGAGGTGGGTTGACATGAGATGAGAGCACTATCTGCATTTTGTGGAAATGGTTGCTTTTCTTGTCTTTTTGCTTCTCTTTCCTCTGATCTGAGCTCAGCAACTGAGTCTCATGTCTTCCACGTCTCAGTGCCTGCAGGTGTTCAGTGTTAGCAGCTGTGGAACAAATAAGAGCAGGAGCAAAGGAGAGACCCCTTAAAGAGAGACTCTGTGGAAGGTGGCATGACTCATTGCATTGTGCAGGATCAGGGAAAGACTGAGCGAGCCAGCCAGCCAGAGGTAGGCGAGAACGTTCAATTATATGGCCTCCTTCCAGGATTGTTCTTGCCTCTTGGGCACTGTGTAGTCATGTGAGGTCCCCTGGCAAGAGGACCTACAAAGGGAGGTGTCTCTCCATGACTTGCAGTTAAGGTGGCAGGAATCAGAGAAGGAATGAAAGTAGACCTTCCCCATCCCTGCCAGACTCCCTGTCAGGTGCTGCACACTCCCAAACCTGCCCTGGGTTCCATGTCTCATTCAGAATACAGTCCTGAAACCTCTGTGGTTTCATCAGAGTTTGCATAAAAGACGATACAAAAGGTTCTCTCTGCCGTAGATGATCTGTCGTCCTCTGTGGAGTTGTTAGCGTCTCTCCCCATTGGCTGAAAATGGTTTGGCTCATGGTTAGTAAGAGCAGCCCACCCCGTGAAGCAGCTCGCTACTATGCCAGACACTCTTCAATGTGCTCACCAGGTCAATGTGACCAGGTAATGTCTAGGTGGCTTAGAAGGGTTTGTGGTGTACTGCCAAGGAGTGGGTTAGTGCAGTGGGAATACATGTGATGGTCTCCATCCTGCCAGGGAGCAGCTGGACATCGTGTCCCCAAAGTGAGGTGATCCTCTGGAGGTCTGTGACTGAGTCCCACAAGGCTGCATGCAGGTTCCCTGTGCATGGTGTAGTCTGGGAAGGCGATACAGGTGAGATGATGGTGGCTTCATCTTGGCCCCACTGGGGCCTTTGAGAACTCTCAATGTGCTAGTTTGCAGTTTCTGAGAGTCTTCAATGATTCCTTTCTTTCTTCTTTTTTTAAATTTATTTATTTATTTATTTATTTATTTATTTATTTTTTGGAAAGAGAGATTTTTGCTATAGGGTACATGCGCTCGCCAGAGAGACAGAAAGTGAGAAATCACCCAACTGAGGGGATGGCCACACCACAATCCCTTCTCCTCCATTCTCCTCTCAGGCTATAGGGTACATGCGCTCGCCAGAGAGACAGAAAGTGAGAAATCACCCAACTGAGGGGATGGCCACACCACAATCCCTTCTCCTCCATTCTCCTCTCAGGAGTTTGGGCACACACACACACATACCTGGTGTGAGTTTTTAAGCCACCTGGTCTGGGATTTGAACCACAGTTGACTACATGGGAGTCCAGTGATGTCACCATTACACCCTCTACTGGTCTCTGGGATGTCTTTTTTACACTGGCATGTTGGCAGCAGAATGAAAGGTTTTGGCACCAAATCCACTTGTACCCAGGTCTTTAATACTTCATTGTCACCTCCTAGCTTTGAGACCTTCTCTTATCCTCAGTTTCATCTTCTGGAAAAGCAGGAATACAGACTATTTTTCTCAGTCAGGTTTTCTACAACCTAAGAACTCTATCAGTTTCCTTCTAGAGGTGCCTTCCCTTTGCTTCTCCTGGTTGGGGCACATTAAAGGAATTTTCATGGGATTAGAAGCAGTTGCCCAGTCCTTGTGCTCAGTTGGGCTGACTGCTCCAAGCTTCTGCCATTGTCCTCCTTATTCTCTATACATAGTCCATCCTGGCTCCTATATCCCCTACAGTGTCTGACACCTGACACAGACACAGCCTGGTCTCTGCTAGCAGGAGGCCAGGCTGACTCACCTCCTTTCAGCCAGCCTCCATCCTTTTCTGTCCTTGCATTCGTAAGTGATCATGGGCTGCCGGTGTCCTGGTCATTGGTAGTGCAGGCAGAGGAAATGGGAAAGGGTTGCCCCATGTTAGGAAGGTCCATGTATTTGCCTTTCAGTTCTGAGCGCTTTCTCACACCTGCTTCTCAGCTCTGCGTGCACTTTGGGCCTCCAGGGCATTGGGGGCTGCCGTGTGTGTGTTATTGTCATAGTGGGCTTTCACTTCCTGCCCTGCTGTTGGGATACAGGCTGTGTGTGTCCCTTAGGTTTCCCTGAATGATCAGCAGGGCCACTGCCAGTCAACCATGGCACTCCCCAAACCTGACTTTGACGTCCATTTCAGCCTGTTGCTGGCCACGTGCTCTTAGTGTTGGCCGTCCTGGCACAGACCATGAGTGTCTCCCTCGTTCAAGTTAACTACTTTCTTTTTTGTTAGGAAATAGTGTTTGCTTAGAGAACAGCAGTCAGCAGTGTTGGCATGCTGTTTGGTGTCTGCTGTCCCTTCCCAGTGCCTGCCATGCCCTGCCCTGAGCAGGGATAAGCCGGTGCTCCTTCCTGACTTCTATCTGTTGCAGGTGAGCTCACTGTGTGCACAGGTGCCATGGGAGTTGTCATGTCAGGAGTAGTTTAGACCCCAGTCTTTGAGGTAAGATCTCAGGTCCATCCTTTATATCCTATACAGTCCTGTCACATTCCCAGCAGCTTTGGGTGATGACGTAGGAGTTGAGAGGTGAGATGAAGGTGGTCCCATGGGTCCCCAAATCCATAGGCCCCCATAGTCAGACTAGATCACATTTGGCCCTTCCTGTGCTGACATCAGCTGCCACAGGGGAGGAGCCCCCAGGGTTCCATTGGGGTAATGAGTGGTCTCTGGGGTATCTGCCCTCCTCCCTTGCCATCAGCAGTAGATATTGTAATGACAGAGACACTGGTCCCTGGCTTTTTTTATTTTTAAAGAGAGATTTTTGCTATAGCATGTATTTGCTCACCAGAGACACAGAGACAGAGAGAGAAAGTGAGAAATCACCCCCTGGGGGGGGAGTGGCCATGCCACAGTCCCTTCTCCTCTGTTCTCTTGGGATTTTGGACATGCATGTACACCCTCCCAGCATGAGTTTCAAGCCACTGGGTCCGGGACTCAAACCGCAGTCAGAGTCCAACATACAACCACTGTGCCACTTGCTGGTCCCTGTGGTCCTTGGCTTTGAACTCCATCTGCCACTATCCCAGTCAGTGACTGATTCAGAGCCTAATTTTCTTCCTTTGAGAAAGTTAAAATCAAGGTGTCTTTTATTGTACTGAGACCACATGATCTCTGTCATCACCACCCCTAATATTTCCCAGTGTGTTTGTCCAAAGTGACTTCTCTTGTTTCCACTGGCAGGGAGTTTCTGTGTACTTTTACAGGGAAGAAGGGCCACTGCTGGGGTCCTGTGCTTGGCTGGGTTTTCTCAGGCTCAGCCTATTCCGTAGGCCTCTGGCACCTGCCTCTCTTCTTGAACCTCTCTGCCCCTGTACCTGCATTCAAAAGTGATCATGGGCTGCCTGTGCTCTGGTCGTCGACAATGCAGGGAGAAGAATTGCTGAAAGCCGTTTCCCGTGTTTGGAGGGTTCACGCCTGTCCCTTTCAAATGCTGGCGCTTTCACACACTGCTGTTTCTTTCCTGCCAGCACCTTCCACTCTCAGGGCATTGCCAGCTGCTCTGTAAGAGTGGTGGGGCATGCATTGACATGGCCACCTGCTGTCAGAGACCAGGCTGTGGTTGTGTCGAGTGTTAGATACTTTAGAGGGGGCTCAAGGAGCAAGGGTGGATTATATATAATGAGTAAGTGTGACGTGGGGTGGTATCCAGGCATTGCCATCAGATTTTCAGGGAAGTGCCTTTCCGAAGTGGTAGGCCTGGGTCAGCCTTTGAGAAGCAGGATATAGTGGGCAACAGGAAGGTATTCCAGGGAAGGGGTGCAACATGAGGATGACTTTGAGGCTGAGGCAAGCAAGGGAGACAGGTGCAGGCCCATAAGAACAGCTGAAAGGGATAGTTCTTGAGGGATCCTTCACTCCGCCAGGGTGCGGTGGTACTTGAGGGGAGGAGGTCTGAGAGTGAGGCTGGGAGGTCTCTGCCAATATTCATCTGCTGGGTTGCCCTACAAGGGGCTGTTCTAGACTTCTAACAGCTGTTCTCTAAAAGTGTTGAGATTCCTTTTTGAGACGAATTTAGTATGGAAGAAAACTGGCAGCTCATACCTGATCAGTTGGGGCATTCTCACTGATGCCAGCTTGAAGAAGGACAAGATGATACTAGGACCAAACATCTGCAGTAACCTCCTGCCCTTGATCTCCTCATCCTAGAGATGCTGCCATGGGCCTGGAGATTGCCAGTGGAAGTCCCAAGGGGATGGAGGCACTGACCCTCTCAGGATGGTGACCTGTGGTCTCAGCACCTCTAGAGGCTTCCTCGCGGTGAGTTTACACCAAGAGGCTAAGTCAGCCTGGGTTTTGAGATGGGAACCCCAAGCCTTTGCCTCATGTGACTTTCTCTCATAGGTTATTGGGGACCAACCACGGACTGGCTTAGCAAAGAGTGAGGAGTGATGTTGCCACGTGATGCATGGCCAGACCTCCTTTCCCCTGTTGCCTCAGACCAGCTGGGAACGACTTCAGTCTGCGTGAGCGAAGCCTTGTGACTCTAGTGACTTGGGGTCCAGCATTGGAGACCCTTCAGTTGGTTCTGCCCTACCCCAGGAGGGCCACAGGACCATGGACCAGGAAGACTTGGTCTAGGCCAGGTCATCCAGTGGCCAGCTCCAGACCCTCTTGTTCATTGCTTGTATAACTTTTCAGAACCAAGAGTTCTAATTAAAGCTTTCTACACTGTACACCATTGTCCTTTTACCCACCTCAATAAATCTCGAAATATGCTTCTACTTGTTCTTTTTCTTTTGTTTGTTTTTGTTTTTTTTAATCAACACCTCCATGTACCGGGTATAGAGAAAGTGGGTCACAAGGGCAGAGATATTTCAGCTTTCACTCACCGAGACCTTTTCCTGGCACTTTCCTAAGGCGTGACCTAGGGAGTGTGAGATGTGATGTAAGATTTGGACTGGGACCTGAACAGTCCCAAGTGCATCTGGGGGCTCAGGCATCGGAGAGAAGGGGAACACGGGCCAAGACTTTGGAAGAGAATGAAGATAAGGATGGGCCAAGATGGGAGCAGGGGCTGAAGGCCTGAAGGAAAGCAGGAGAGCCATGAGCCTAGCTGCTGAATACACCAGGCACCTTGGGGACATGGCTTTGGGCAGAGGTGAGAATGGAGTGTACAAAGAGCTTGGAGAACTCTAGGGGTCCAGAGGACAAACACCAGGTATTGGGGTTCCTGTGAACATGAGGTAGATTTGGTTGCACAATCGTGCTCATTGTTCCTATGGGTACCTTTTACTCTGTCCTCATTTTTCAGGTTTAGGCCTTGGTAGAAAGGGGGTAGTTGATTGGTCCAGTCCCCTAGTTGACATTGAAGTCACCTTGACAAGGTGAAAACAGGTTGTCAGGCCTTCATGAGTCCAGCACCTTGATAGCTGCTGTCAGCAGATACACTCAGATACACTCTTGTCAGCTAGTTCTGGCTTCTTTTTTTTTTTTTTGCCTTGTCCCTCAGCTTCTTCCCAGAGGCCATCTGACCATTTACTTTCTTGGGGATCCTTCTAGAGCAGGCCAGTGTAAAGTAGCAGGGCTACAGCCATTTTGAAATTAAGGCCTCTAATGAGAACAACTCAACCACATGCTGAGTCATTAGGAGATCTGAGGAATGGTCAGATGAGAAACCAGGAATAATTAAGAGAAAATGATTGATGGGTTGTACTGAGGAATTATTTATGCATTCTTTGTCTTACATTTATACTGAGAACATAAGCTTTTTTTTTTCTTGGAGATTTTTACTGTAGGTTGCATGCACTCGCTGGAGAGACAAAGCGAGAAAATGCCTCCCAAGGGGGATGGCCACACTGCAGTCCCTTTTACATTCTCCTCTTGGGATTTTGGGTATGCATGCACACATGTGCCTGGCATGGATTTCTCTTTTTTTTTTTTAAACATTATGCCTTTTTAAAATTTTATTTAACTTTATTTATTATTATTAACTTTATTTATTATTATTATCATTATTATTTTCCAGTTTGATCAGAGAGAGACAGAGAGAGAGGAAGTGAGAAAGCAAGCCACCAGGTCCGAGACTTGAACCATGGTTGGCCATGTGGGAGTCCAGCGCCTCCAACCACCATGCCACTTGCCGGCCCCATGAGTTTCAAACCTCTGGGTCTAAGACTTGAACTACTGTAAACCATGTGGGAGTCCAGCGACATAACCACTACACCATCTCCTGGTCCCAAGAACATAAGCTTTTTGATGGTGCTTGCTGGCTGTCACCCTGTAATGGGCTACAGAAATAAACCATTCTTTTTTTTTTTTTTTTTTTTTTGAGAGGTTTTTGCTATAGGGCGTGTGTGCTCACCAGACAGACAGAGAGAGACAGAGAGACAGAAAGTGAGAAATCACCCCCCCAGGGGGGATGGCCACACCGCAATCCCTTCTCCTCCATTCTCCTCTCGGGATCTTGGGCACGCACGCACACGCACCTGGCGTGAGTTTTAAGCCACCCTGTCCAGGACTCGAACTGCAGTCGACTACATGGGAGTCCAGCGACATAGCCATTACACTAACTACTGGTCCCAAGTTCTCCCCTTTTCTGAGCTCACTATTTTTCGTGAAGTTTTTCTGGTGCCTTGACTCTGGTAGACCTCTTTTCTTAATAGGCCGATGTCCTCTTATTGCTAAGCAGATTCCTGTAACTGCTGGGAGCAGTGTCTCCACTCCCTCCACTTGGTGTTTCTCATTTTCTTGACCCACTGCCTTAATCCGGCAGTCTGAAAGTCCCTGATGCTGTTTAGTCTCTGTCCTATAAGAGGGGACAGTGATGGAGTTCTGGGAGAGAGGGGAAGAGGTGGGAGTCCTGTAAAATGGGGGAGCAGAGCCTCAAGACTAGAGGCATAATTACTTAGCATGGCTTGACTCCCAGTCTCCAATATTTCCTTCCTCATAAGCCACCGGTGCATTTATGGAGGGGTCACTCATGCCCTATGTCCATGTATCCTAGTGTACCGATCGGATATGAGGTCAGTGAACTAATGTGTTGAAATGCTCAATAAGCTGCTGCTCTTCTCATTGTTGACATGCTTGCTTTCAAATTGTAACTGATGTTCATCATGGGCCCTGCCCCTCAGGTCTTCTTTTGCTGCCCTCTGCCACCCCGTGCTCCATCCGACCCTCAGCTGTCAGCATAGACTTCCCGTTTTCCAGAGAAGATGTGTGAGGCCCTCCTCACTGGGTGGACTGCCCGCCCCCCTTATCTCACACAGCATGCTCCACAAGCACCCCACACCACAGCCACACTGTTATTTAAGGTTCCTGTTTTCTAAAACATGGTCTCCTTTTCCTGGCCTATGTGCCTGGAATGCATCCTCCACTTCAGACAGCGATCAGCTTGTGTCATTTCCTTCAGGAAACCTTCGCTGGCTAAGCCTCCACCCAGACCGGATTCGTTGCCCCTCCTTTCATTCACACAAATATCCATGATACGTGAGCCCAGTTCTAGGAACTGGTAAACAAAGCAGGCAAGACAGTAGTCCGGCTTTCCTAGCGCTTACACGGGACAGGGATACATCATAAATGAGATAAAGCGCTACAATACGCAGTATGCTTGAGGAGTGCTAAGGAAAAAAATCAAAGCGGGGGAGCAACATGGGCATTTGGGACAAGCAGCGGGGAGTGTGGCATTTTAAATAAGAGGCAGGAAGGCCTCACCCAGGAGGGAGGACCTGAGTCATGTGAGGAGCTCTCAACCCTGGGCAGCCACTGCAGCCTGTGCAGCCACCATCACAGCAGGGACCAGGCCCAATAAACTGGGGAGACAAGGGGTCAGAGGCCACTGTGGCTTCTTATAATGAACATCTGCCAGATCGTGGTGAGGGTGGCAGCCGAATCAAGCTAGGATCGCCTAGGCAGCACCAGCTATGCATGTCCAGGGGGCAGACTCTACACCTGTTAGCTCTGTACCCCTGACCCTCAACCACAGCTCAGTGGACTAAGGAAGTGTAGTCAGGGCAGCCATAGGTAGGCCTAACCCTGGCTTTGGTCTAGTTCAACCCATCAGAGACAATAATTTTCTCTTGAGTAATTATTCTTCGTTTCTCATCTGACCATTCCTCAAACAGAGCTCCTAATGACTCAGCATGTGGTTGGGTTGTTCTCATTAGCGGCCTTAATTTCAAAATGAGTTGTTCTCATTAGCGGCCTTAATTTCAAAATGGCTGCAGCCCTGCTAAACCTAATGCTAACCAAGCCTAGCAGATTTTCTTCTTGGGGAGTTCTGCATGCATTGAGAGTCTGAGTAACTGGTTATAAGAACAAACAGAAAGAGACAGTAATCGAGTCTTTTTTTTTTTTTTTTTTTTTGGAGAGTTTTTTTGCTATAAGGCATGTATGTTCACCAGGAACACAGAAAGCCAGAAATTACCCCTCGGGGGGATGGCCACGCCACAGTCCCTTTTCCTCCATTCTCCTCTCTGATCCGCACACACACATGCTCTGTGAGTTTAAGCCACCAGGTCTGGGACTCGAACTGCGGTCAGCTACATGGGAGTCCAGTGACATAGCCATTGTGCCAACTGCTGGTCTCCAGTTATAGAGTCTTAATAGCAGCGCTCAGAGGTGCAGACCATTGCACTTCTGTTACAGACAAGTGAAGAATAATACTTTAATTTACAAACCACATTTGTGCTCCACAACTCCTAGCTGTGAGCTATACTTAAGACTGGCCACAAAGCCAGGGGTTCAGTTCTCCCTGAATTTTTGTTAAGATGTGGTCAAGTGGGGCCAGCAGGTAGCATAGTGGTTAAAGCATTGGACTTCTACATGGTCAACTGTGGTTCGAGTCCTGGACCCTGGAGCTTGAAACTCACACCAGGCATGTGTGCATGCATGCCCAAGATCCCAAGATTAAAATGGAGGAGAAGGGATTGTGGCATGGTCATTCCCTGTGGGAGGCAATTTGTCACTTTCTATCTCTCTGACCCTATAGCACCAAAAAAAAAAAAAAAAAAGGGATTTGATCATGTAACCAATAATCCTATCTTTTCTTTTACTTTAAAAATTTTAAATAAGAGACCTTACATCTACTACCACTGTGCCCATTACTGAAGGGAGCAAAATCTGTCAGCTAGTACAGGCAAAGTCATGCCAGCAAGTGCCTGGATGACTGGTCAGTGTTCCGGGATGGGGAAGGAAGCCAGTCGCAGATTTGACACTGTGCGCAGAAATAGCTCACAAGAAGCTCTGTCCTCCTCGGCTACCACTGCCATGCCACCTGGGTGCTTGACTCGGTCTGCACTCAGAGACAGCCCAGTGAAATCATTAAGAGCCTGTCGAGGGACCAGTAGATGGCATAGCAGTTATGTCACTGGATTCCCACATGGCTGACCATGATACAAGTCCCAGACCTAGTGGCTTGAAAATCATGCCGGGTATTGTGTATGTGTGGTGCCCAAGATCCCAGGAGAAGAGATTGTGGTGTGGCCATCCCCCGGGTGGCTGATTTCTCACTTTCCCTCTCACTGTCTCGCTTTCCCAGTTGAGCCCATGTGCCCTAAGGTAAACACCTCTCCCCCCCAAAAAAAAATTGGGCCAGCAGGTGGCATGGTGGTTAAGGCACTGGACTCCACATGGCTGACAACGGTTTGAGTCCCAGACCTGGTGGTTTGCTTTCTCACTTTCTCTCTCTCTCTGTCTGTCTTTAAATTCTTAAAAAAAAAAAAAAAAAAAAAAATCTCTGTGGACCTGGAGCACATTTTTTTTTTTTTTTTTTTTTGCCTCTCTG